CACACGCACACACACACACCCACACACACACACACAAACACACACACATGCACAAACACACACATGGTACACACACTCACATAGAAACACATTATAACATGTTTCATGTTTCTGCTGGGAATTGACTGTCATTTTTTTTTACTTAACACAGTTAAATTTGAGTGATGTGATGGAGACAAATGAGTTGATATCATATTTATATTTAAAAAAAATATATTAGATATTTATTTCATATTTATGAAAATGTATGAATATACATACATTTAGGTTATAATTCATTTAGAATTTTTTTTTTTTTTTTTACAAAATTTAAAAAATATATATTTTTTAGTGTTTCAATATATATTTGAATCCATAAACAACCAAACTGAAGCCTCAAGACTATCTAATTTCTCATGTTTCACTTTTCGTTTTGCTCAGTTAAAAATCTCCATAGGTTCCTATAGGCCCCTCTAGTGGCTGTAACCATAAAATACAATTTTATGTCATTTTCCCCCACCAGATGGCATCAGAGACAATCAGTGACTAAATTCCAAGGGCATCTGTTGTGCTGCGTCTCAATGTGCCTACTTATACTACGCCCTTAAAGTATATACTCTTTTGGTGAAGAAAAGTACACACTTTTGAGTGTGTAGTAGAAGAGTAGGCAAGCTTTGGGACATACTATCACGTCACACAATTGCGTCTTTAAAGGACCGCTCTGTCGCATAATTACACGCACCCTGTCACTGTAAACCGTTGATTATTAGTAACTCAAACCCATTTTTGTAAACCTCTCTCCCTAACCATCGATCGCGCGCATCCGCCACATTTGTAGTTTTTCTAACGCATTTTATTTGTGTTTGTAGTTCTGGACCGAATACTTTGCCAAAGCGCAATGGATTGTGGGCAATTTTAGCCATAAGAGTGCGCACGGATCCACACTTCAAAAATCGACCTGAAATAGTAGACCATCCGGGGACTTATGGCATACTCTTTTCAACATACTATGCTTTGGGACACACTTACTCTAATCTCATATACTATTTAGGATGGATAGTATGAACATTGAGACGCAGGGTTGGACAACTTAATCCAGATATTTTAATCAAATCTGCAAATTAATTTGAAGAACCAAATTAGCGCCAAAGCGCAATGGATTGTGGGCAATTTTAGCCATAAGAGTGCGCACGGATCCACACTTCAAAAATCGACCTGAAATAGTAGACCATCCGGGGACTTACTTAATACTCTTTTCAACATACTATGCTTTGGGACACACTTACTCTAATCTCACATACTATTTAGGATGGATAGTATGAACATTGAGACGCAGGGTTGGTTTTTGGTAAAACAGGACTCAAATTGTCTTTTTCTTTTTCTTTGGTGAAATAATGTACAAAAACTGCTTTTTTGCTTATAGTTTCTTAAAAATATCCAGAATAAAAGGTAAACATAATAAAAAATCACCAAAAAATAATTTAAAAAACCCAACATAAATATTTAGAAAATATATATATATATATATAAAT